CATTCAGCATTAGCAGCGATTTTCTGAGCAATAGCGACAGAGCAGCAGCGGCGACACAATAGTGGCGACTTGTCGTTGGTAAAGGCATAAGCCGCGATATTGGTGAGCAATAGCGGCGATTTGTCGCCGGTAATACACTTATTTCTTGTAATGGAAGGCAAAAGTGTGTTGTACATACATCAACAATATATGATTTGAGATTTTGCGATGTTTTATTTATAACTCTGATTTAGGATTTCGGTTTAATAACATATGGTATTATCTTAATTACAACTTTATGAAATTGGGTATTTATCTGTATTTTAAAAAAATATTATGAAAATTAGGACTTTACACTCCCTAATTTTCGGATAAAGCCCGCTCCTCTAATCGAGATGAAGTAGATTATGAATCATTCTTATAGAAATTGGCACTACAAGAAGTGCGGGCATTAGCGGCGACGTCTGTCGCCGCTAAAGGTATTAGCGGCGACTTGTCGCTGCAAATACGTCGTCGCTAATGCCCTGTTAGTCGCCGCTAATATAAACCTGTCGCCGCTAATACTTCACTGTCGCCGCTAATATATATCTGTCGCCGCTAAAGGCGTTGCCGTAAAAACTGTTTTCATTTTTTTTGTTTATTTAATATTAAAGTTATAAAAAACAATATAACATTTATAAAACCTGTTACAATTTTATAAAATATTAATCCACAATTTTATAAAATCTATTACACATTTATAAAATATGTTACATTTAACCCATACACAACCAAAAACAATATAACTTTTATAAAATATTGATCCACAATCCAAAATATTAGTCCATACAACCTAAAGTATTCTTCTAAACAAGCATGTCATAAAATCCTAAAATTCCTACTCGTCGTCATCACTCTCATCATTTCCTTCATTAATTGGTGGTGGCAATGAACGAAACCACTCTTCCAATGCCGCAGAACATGACGGGTCCTTCAGTATCGTTTGCAGCATTTCCAACTACAAAGAAAACAAAATATATTACCAACATATCATAATAGTATTATACTTTTCAAAAATTACCAAAATAAAAAAATACCAACATATCTATAACCAGCATAACATTATAGCATTCTACTTTCCAAAACTTACCAAACTACAAAATATCAACATATCAAACCATAACCAACATACCATTATAGCATTCTACTTTCCAAAAATTACCAAACTACAAAATATCAACATATCAAACCATAACCAACATATCATTATAGCATTTTACTTTCCAAAAATTACCAAACTACAAAATATCAACATATCAAGCTAGAACCAACATATCATTATAGCATTCTACTTTCCAAAAATTACCAAACTACAAAATATCAACATATCAAACCATAACCAACATATCATTATAGCATTCTACTTTCCAAAAATTATCAAACTACAAAATATCAACATATCAAACCATAACCAACATATCATTATAGCAGTCTACTTTCCATTATAGCATTGTAGTATATACTAAACAAACAATTACCAACATATCATTATAGCATCCTACTTTTTTCGTTTTTCCATTATAGCATTATACTTTTCAACAAACAAACAATTACCTGTGATTCTGGTGGTTCTTGTGTCATTGGTTGTTCCTGATCGTACATAGACACAACGGTAGGAGGTTTACGCCCAATGTCTCTGATATGTCCGCGTCAAACACCCAATACTTTTTCAAAACATTTTCTTGTATCACTTGGCGTTAGACCGCTTGCTGAAAAAGAAGCTTGGGTTTGTTGATTGATCTCCTGAAGTAAAGCATTCTGTATTTTCAAAAAATGATAAACATCCTAAAAATTAGATTACTAAATACCATTGACGATATAAACACTTATATGAAAATACAAATTAACCACTTACGTATTGTTGCTCGACTGCAGGACTATAAAATACCCCATGGCGATTGGAATTAGCCTTACGAAATGCTTCGATTCGAGTGATATCCTATTTAACATTCAAAATTAGAATAATTATACTTTAAATAAACATTTAAATATATCATAACTTGTTGTACGAGCGCGACCCCGCTCTGTTTACAACTAGTTGTTTTGCACGAACTTCTTTGTTTGACGCCAAACGCCTTAAAAATTCGAGAGATTGAAAATGTTCGACTGTCTTCGCCTAAGGGGGAGGGGGGTTGTTTAGTGCCATTGGGATATCTGTAGGCCCCCGATTTGCTTAAAATAAGAATGGGCTTCACTTTTTCGGCCACTGTAAATTTTTGCAATACTCGAATCAATGCTCCGCAACAATTGCGCACGCTCCGAATCCAAGTTAACCTTATCCAAATCAAACTTATTCTACAAATACAAAAAAGTTAATTAAATAACTATCACAACTAAACTTAAAATATTATCCAAGTTACCTTTATATGCATAACTGTAGCATTCCTTAACGCGGGGGAAACATTGTCCCAACCAGATACATTGAAAGGGACGGTGTTCCACAAATACCTCCCAATTTCATGTGTAAACTAATTGGCAGGCTTCCCGACAGGGGAATATGTGATCTCCCTGTCGAAATCCAAATCCACAGGCTTTCCCTTGTTTGCCCGTATCCATTTTTCTAGCTCTATATTCTTTGACAATCCCCTTTCTTTTCTTTGGAAGCTCGACTAAAAAAATACAATTAAGAATATTAGTCACGATAACTTATAATAAATTAATGAAAATGGCTAATAAATATATCATAATAAAACTTACCATCATGTTTATGCTGCCCGCGACCATAGCCTCCTGGAGGTGGTGGATCCCCAGCTCCATCACCTCCGTAACCCAGGCCCATAACATCGGCCATCATAACAAAGAATATCGCCCACGTAAACCTCATTTGTTGCCTGTAAAATTACAAGATGTACAATATAGAAATACAATATGAATAAAAGTTAGTTACCCTACAAAATTATAAGATATGCAATATAGACAAACAACATAGATAAAAGTTAAACAGAAAATATGAATAAAAGTTAAAATTCAAATAAAGTTTCTATTACAAAAAAAATACATTTGATTTTTTTAATCAGAATCTCCATCATATACTTCAATGTCTTCTTCATCAGTATCATAATCAGAATCATCATCATCATAATTAGTCTCTTCATCGGAAACATTATCGACTCTACCAGTTGGCGGAAGTACTTCAGTATCGTCTTCATCATCATAATCAACATTGTTTTGAGCTACATCAACATTGTTTTGAAAGTATTGTGAGAAGTCGATAAAAAGTATAGCTTCAGATGAAGAGTTGTTTTAAACTACCCCCTGTATTCGAGGTTCCTTCATCGATGTTGGTATCATTTTCTCTCGACTCCCACATAACATTGTCAGTAACATCAGCCATCTCGTTACTTGGTGACATGACATCTACAACTAGAGGAATTAAAGGTTCACTGTGATATATCCACATTTCGTATGACCGACAGAAACCATATATACGAACATTACGTCTCATTGCTTTCGGATCCATGAAGTAACGATTATCACATTGCTCACATGGACATCTGGTTTCACCTTTACAATCTATGTGTAACATGGATCTCTGGAACAAAGAGTCAAGTCCTAGCTGGAACTCAGGAGACTGACGATGTGGATTAGTAGTCCAGCTTTTATCAATAGACATGATGCAACTGAAACATAGTTTAGTGTTTAAGGATTACTCTACGGGAAGCAAAAATCAAGTAGATTATTCATAATGTCGATGATTCAAAAAGTATTCCAACACGGGAGTTATTTCTAGTATGATTTTTGTTAGTAGTCCAGCTTTTATTAATATTTTCTTTTTATTGATTTTTGTTAATTATAACATCATAATCTGAAAAAACATATATAATCCCACAAAATGCATAAACACTTCCATATCCATCAATCCAAAGATAATCACACAACAAAATTGAAGAATACTACCAAATTTACCACCCAAAATTAGCACCAAAACAGAAAAATAATAGAAAATAGGGAGGAATTCGACCTTCAATGTCAAAAATTCAGAATTAGAGCTATAGGTCGCCGGTAATGGAGATGGTCGGCGGTGTGGCAGTCTTGTGGTGGCAGGAGCGGCTGGTGGTCGGCAGTCGCTTGGGTCGCCGGTCCTCTAAGTTCGTCGCCGGTTTTCAGTGAGAGACGCAAAAAGGAACGACACAGAATGAGAAAAGGAAGCTGATGGGGGTTATTTGTAAAGGCCTTTAGCGGCGACACCCTTGAGGGAAAAGTCAGCGCGTTTTTTCGTTCCTCTACGACCCTTGGATTGAAAACAAATCGGACGGATAGAGCTCGTTTGACGCGGATCGCTATTAGGTTGGCATTAGCGGCGACGCAGGGCATTAGCGGCGACATGTAACGCGTCAATTACATGTCGTCGATAATGACCTGCGTCGCCGCTAATGCCATCATTTCTTGTAGTGTGGGATGATGATCCACCAGTTGCGAAGCCTTGTTCAAACCTGAAGAAAAGTAGAGCATTCATGTAGGTTTCGGATTCATTATTGTTGTTGCAGTACTGCGGGCATAAAGTGGAGTTGAGATCAATTCCATTTCTATTTAGATAAATACGGGTCGGAAAAGTCGGAAGACGAGTATGTCACATTAAAATGTTGATTTTAGCTTGTACAAATTGTTTCCAACTTGTTATGAAATGATTTTGCGTGAAAATAGTTTAAGCTCGTATAATTTTGTGTTGTTTGGGAATGCTATAAGTAATGAAAAACTTCTAATAATAGTTCCTGAATGATATATGTATTGAAAAACGATTGACAAAAATGCAAGGACAGTCAAAACGTTGTTTGTATGACTAGCTTGTTGCTAGTCCCTATATAGTGCTGTTGTGGTTTAAAAAGAGGCAAAAATGAAAAACACTCTTAACAAATATAAAAATAATTCAATCATTCTTGGGGCATAAATAACAAGAAAAACAATAATAATTTATTATGATAAAAACAAGGAAGAAACGATTGTGGGGTTTGATTAATCCAATTGCTATCCTATATAGTGGGTCTTTCTCTCTCATTCTCTTTTCTCTCACATTCTTATTTGTAGCTTCCTTCTCTCTTGTCTTTGAGAACGCACACACATAAACACAAGGAGGTCAGATCCCAAAGGTGGTTAATCTGTCCATCAATCAATCCATATACATTGTTCAGTCAATCTTATCAATCAATCAAATCAAACTGTGAGAGAGTATCAAACAGGAGAGAGAGTAGAAAGGGCAAAGGTGAGGAAAAACATGTCATCTTCAGCTGCTTTTTCACCGGACCACCACCACCACCACCTCTCTCCTCCCTCCGAGCAGCTCTGCTATGTCCAATGCAACTTCTGTGATACTGTACTCGCGGTACAAAACATCATCATCATCGTTATCATCTGTATCACTGTATATATATATATATATATATATATATATATATATATATATATATATATATATATATATATATATATATATATCCTGTTCAAGTCATCACAATCTTTGATTACTATCGACTTTGTTATTTTCCAATTTCCTTGATGTATATATTCTTGAATCTCAGTAAATTATGACAAGAATACTCTCTGCTACGTTACCATAATCGATCTTTATGATGATCTTCAACTCAATTTTTCATGATTTTTATTACTTATGCTGAAAAAAAAAATATTTTTATAACTTTTTGCTATTGTAGGTGAGCGTTCCTTGCAGCAGTTTGTTCACTACCGTTACTGTTCGATGTGGCCACTGCACTAATCTCTTGTCTGTCAACATGCGAGCTCTTCTCTTTCCTGCTTCAGCCGCAGCTGTTGCCGCCAACGCCGCAGCTAATCAACTCCATCTTGCCCATAATTTCTTCTCTCCTCAAAACCTTATGGTATAAATCAATGAACTTATAATTTTAGTGAAGACGATATTAACTTTATACGACTCTCAATAGATTTCAAAAGAGAGAAATCCCAGATTAGTTTTTCACCAGTAACTAAATCTTTCGTGTAAAAAATAGAACGTGTATTAAGTATTCCCACTTTGTTTATGTGTGTGTGTGTATAGCTTAATCGAGGAATGCAGTTAGCTAGCCATTGGACATCATTTCGAAATAAAATGTAATGAACATCTACCCTCCGATTTCTACCCAAGATGTTTTCTTGAAAAATGGAATCTAGGGTTAGGGTTTTGCATTTACTAATTCTTTTCTTTTTCTTGGTTTTTGGTTTCGATTCCCCCAAGTTCTCTACGGTTTTTTTTTAACACTTTCCATTGTTGGGATCTGGGTTTACTTCCATTCTCCCCACTACTTCTTGGCATGTATGGTATAGAACATGGGTTTTCGAGAAAACCATAAGAGTTGCTTAAAAGTATAAACATTGATATTGTAAACACAATTCTCTACAATAATGTATATACATGTTCACTTAACATCTGAAAACATTTTCAGGATGAGATGAGAAACGCCCCATCCAATTTGTTCATCAACCATCCAAATCCAAATGAGCCCGTTACTCCTGTTCGAATTGATGAGCTTCCCAAACCTCCCGTGGCAAACAGACGTAAGAGATATGTCCTTTTGATCTTTGATTTCTACGTTTTAATTCACCAACTTCACTTCAAATCTTTTAAGAAGATAAAACAGTATATATTCATTAATTTAACTTGCATTATAATATACTATTTTCTAAACAAGAGTAGTTTTGAGAAAATACTTCAGTGTTCGTACTTCATAAAAGTTTATACTCAGTTAGGGTCTTTTTTTTAAGTTTGTCAATTGGGGTCTTAAATTATTATTTTTGGTAAGAAGAAAAACTCACTTTCTCTAGATTTTATTTCTTGCCTTTCCCTCTTCTTCTTTGTTATTTCTGAATATAATAGCTTTGTACAACCATAAAAGCAACTTTACTTCAGCAACTTTCCACTTACATTTCTGATCAGCAAGGAAACCCTAATATACTGGGTTAAAACAACAGTCATAGTTAATAAAAGGTTGACACATTCTCCACAACACAATAACACAAACACAAGCAAATGATCTAGCTCAAAAAAGACCACTTATTAATAACTTTTTTCTTGTATTGTTTACAATATTTAGTGCCTTTTTATCTTCTTGCAGTTCAAAATGGTTAATTGACAAAAGATCTCTGTCCTTTTTCTTTGTTTTTTCCGTTTGCATGTGTATCAAAATCAGATAGTGTATCTACCACATCATATAAAATGGTTAGAATTCTATGATAGATAGAGATAATGATGATGTTATGATAGGAGAGAGAGAGAGAGAGAGAGAGAGAGAGAGAGAGAGAGAGAGAGAGAGAGAGAGAAGCAAGTCTACAAAATAGTCAGCAGTGAAACGATTTTTATGTAATGTCTGTTTACTTGTCGCTATGTTTGTCTTCTATTTGCAGCTCCAGAGAAGCGCCAAAGAGTGCCTTCTGCTTACAACAGATTCATCAAGTAAGTAACTTTAACCTTTAACAAAAAATATATTTGTGATAAAATATTATTATGCATAAAAGTATACTGTATACCCTTGTACGAAAAATAGAGGAATATGCGGTACAAACTCCGACCAACATATTTTTTTGAATATTATCTTGTTCCACAAAAAAGAGTTTGGAGGGATACATTTTTATTGGGAAAGGAAAAGAAAACAATGATTTTAGGGAATGATATTATTTTAGATATAAAAATATCTATATGTAGCAGCGACCTTAACGATATTGAATGTACATTTTTTTAGAATATATTGATGAAGAAAAGTTGTTTGTAGGATGAAGAAAATTGAACATATTATAAACATTTCAAAATATAAAAAACAAAAACAAACGTCAAATCTGAAGCTTCAAAGTACCATGATTTGAATTTTTTAGATGAAAATGTACCCTTTTAGACAGTGGAGTACAATTTATTGAATGAATTTTTTGTACTATACAAATAGTTACAAAAAGTTTGAGGTTCTATCAAAATGTACACTCCCTCTAGAAAACATTGATTATTTAACGCTATAATTGATCAACTTTACTCTTTATAGTAAATGAAAATTGCAGTAAATTATTTTTACAAAATAAAATCACCAACGCGAATTTAAATCCAATAAAAATATATCAAAGGAAAAAAAAAACATATTTTTTTGGATTCACTAACTAAAATCGATGCTCAATTTTGAAGCAAAAAGTTCGTATATTGAACATCAACAATTAATTAATGTGTGTTTTATGTTATTATTTTAATACTTTCTCTTTTTATTTCAATTACTTTCTCCGAAAAACATTATGATAAAGTTTGTATTTATTCAAACACATTAAAGTGACTGTCTTTTGAAGTACACAACTTTTTCTAATGAAAATTTAAATAAAAGTTATTTCACTGCATAGACCTGTAAAAAGCTTACTATAAAAAAAGTTGTTAAAATTAAACGTGATAATTGCAGGGAAGAGATCCAACGTATCAAAGCAGGAAACCCTGATATCAGTCACAGAGAGGCCTTCAGTGCAGCTGCAAAGAATGTAATATTAATTAATCTTTATTTACTCCTGCCTAGGGTTTCGTTTAAACTAGGGTTTCCTTTTTTAATAATTTTTCAATTTATGTTTTTTGTTTTTGAAGTGGGCCCATTTTCCTCACATCCACTTCGGACTTATGCCTGATCAACCCGTGAAGAAACCCAATGTGTGCCAACAGGTAATCCTCTTTTACCCTGGAATTTTCTATCTCACCATTTTCTCAAACATATCTATCTTGGTCCTACAGTAATCCTTTTTCCTTATCCATCATGTGCTTATGTTTCTCTGTTCATCTTTATTAATGAGAAACTCTCAGGAAAGTGTAAACCTTTTTCTGCAATGGAGTTGCTAAGCTTTTTGCTTTTATCGACATCTTTTGTTTCACTGTGTGTATCTTTGTATTTGATGTTATGCAGGAAGGAGATGATCTGCTCATGAAAGATGGATTTCTGACCACCGCCAATGTGGGTGTTTCGCCTTACTGAGTGAAAGCGCTAAGATCGATTGATATAAATAGCTAGCTAGGGTTTCTAAGTTTCCACATGCACTTTGGCTTGTCTTTGCTTGAATGTCTAATTAAGACTTCAATAATTAGGTGTTCTTGTTTTTATGCTATCGTCTTGAAATGAAAGTCTCTCACGTTATGGTGATCAATAGGGGAGAATCGGATTATAACTGGAAAAGTCTCAGTAAAGTCTAGTAGAAAGCCATTTCATCTTGACTCCATCTAATGAAGTTTGTATCAATATCATAATTGATTTCCTTTGTTTTGATCTTTTTTTTCTTATAGGATAAGCAAATAATCGGGAGCTATATATATTTGTTCTCTTTTAGGTGAGTGAATTAATTAATAGAGAATGGAGAGGACATGTGCTACGATATCTTCTTATATCATTGAATACCTACAGTTTATGAGTACGGGGTCACTTGGATTTGCACCTTTCAAGTGATGTGTTACAATTTCCTGCATTTGATCAATCTCCACCGTTGAGTTGTAGAAACGACAGTGGTGTGGATCGAACTTCAGACCTACCACCCTTCGCCACCATCATTGTTGTCCACTTCTGCTTTAATGTGCGAATAGTCTTTATGGTGCCTATAGCCACTACCAAATTAAGAGCCCATCATCCCTACCAATACCATGCCTTGACAAAATATCACGCCCTCCCTGTTAGTAAAAAATTCCTATTCTAGAGGCTACATCTCTTTCTTGCCAAACCTCTTTTATCAACACCGTTTAGCTGTCTTTTTTCTCTTTCCTTTAAAAAGGCAATATATCTAAAATAGGTACCTTCATCGGGTACAAGAAAATAAAAAAGGAAGGGAGAGGTTGTTGAAATTTTAATTAATAATTAATTACTAATAAATAGGGTTAGTTATTGTCATACGGAGTATTTCACTAGTAAAATTTACTCAATTAGCTAGCCCAGAAAATTCTAATATGGACCAATTAGCCACCAAACTCACACTACAACAATAATTAGGTGTTGCTTAAGAAGTACTCTCTAGATCAACCAATGGCGATTACATGTTGCAACATTGAACATTTAAAATTAGAAAGAATCAAATAGAAAAATATTATGACACCTAAGCAAATCGCAGTTTTGAAATATTTTTTACTTTTTTATTGTTATTCTATAAAAATATATAAAACAAATGCTACCATTCAAAGTATAATAGCAACGAATCGTAGTGTAATATAATTCTTTTAAATTTAAATATAAAACTATTTAAAGTTGAACAAAAATCATTCAAATTTTAATATTATAAACTAACTAAATATTCGTCAGAGGGTTTCCCATCGTATTTCACCTTATGTGGTGGGCGACTCCAGCTAGCTAGCCATATACACATCACGGTCGAATGTAGATTGTTATGTCAGTATTAGTCGATGGAAGTTAATTAGGCGTGTTGTTCACTATTGTATTATAGTACTATTTGTGTTGTTTTTTAAATAATTCCATCCACTGATGTGACAATTTTGTATTATTTCTCTCCTTGAAAATTCTAAAGTAGCATGTGGTGTGGAGTTTGGCAAATTTGTGACAGAACTAATAACAAACCTTAGCACTCCTCGGCAATGACCACGAGATTCAATTTTACATCATTTTGAGCATTTCATCCACATACACTTAAAGATAATGATCCTACATGCAGTCATTAGGGTGTCAATCCCAACCCGAATCCATCAACCCAACCCAATAAATAGTAGGTTGGGGTGAGATTTTTAACCTATTTAATTATACGGGTCAACCCGTCTAACTCATTTTATTAAATGAGTTGGGTTAGGATTGAAATTTCTAACTCGTTTACAATCCACCAACCCGTTTAATATTTTAAAATATTTTTTAATTTATATTTATTTAGCATTATTATTTAGTTGATCATTATATTTTTATTATTTTTATTTATCAAAAACCGTGGGTCAGTAACCATTATTAGAATTTGAGTTGGTAAAAGTGATACTCGAGTTGCATAGAATTTATAAATTAAACATTTCTAATGTTTATGGTTGTAAACACTTATTTGTGTTTGTGTTATGAGCTTATAAAGTTATTGTTGTATAATTTTCAAAGTTAAACAATTATTAAAGCTTTTAAATTGTATGTATTTTTATTTGATGAATTATTTGATTTTTAAGGGGATTTTTTGTGAAAATTTAAACAGGTCAACCCGAGTTTAACTTATTTAATAAATAGGTTGGGTTGGAAAAACAATAAACAGGTCAACCCGATTTCAACCCATTTATTAAAAAGGTTGGGTTTGGTTGGAATTTTCAACCCGTTTACTTAAAAAAGTTAAATTGGATAGATTTTCAACCCATTTAATTAAATAGTTCAACTCGTTTATGACCCTACCCAACCCATTGTCACCCCTAGTCGTCACTATGCATCAAACAACTATGAATGCATTAATTCATCCAAACACAAATTATTGGTTACATAATCAAATATGGTCATTTGTTAACAAATCCTTAGAACTATGATAGGGAGTGTGAAGTTTGTTGTTGTTTTTGCTCTCATTTGGGTCATTTGGTGCTATAGGAATGATCGTATCTTCAACAACAATAAGGTTAAGCATGCTAAAATTTTAGCAAGTGAGCGCAATTTTATAATTATTTCTGGTTTAAAAATAGAAATATAAAAGATAATCAAATCAAATGATGTCATTGTTGTACTAACACGTCTTGGCCTCTCGGGTATGCATGCTTGTAATTTTCTTCTTGCTACTCGCTAGCTTTCACTAATAAAAATATTATTGTTGTTAAAAAAATCCATAGAACTGTGCATGTCATCTAAAGTACATATCAAACTTCGTTATTCATGTTACTCAAGATTCGTCGGTTGTAACGTCCGTAGATCCGGGCTAGTCAATTTAGAGATAATAGGGGTCGAAAACGACTCTTTGATAAAAGATTATTTAGAATAAATAATCTTAACCAAGTTGTAGAATATGTCTCAAGGGTTCCGTACATATAAAGAACGCCGAAATTCGAGTTATAACGAAGAAGTTATGACCCGTCGAAGTTTCGCGACGGAACCGGCACGACACCGGGAAACGTAAATAGTGAATTTACGATAGAGCGACTTTTAGCCTTAGCGACCTAAACGAAAGTCGTAGAATACGTTAAACCGAGAGCGTCCATAAAAAGAACGCCCAAATCTGACTTCGTATGAGGAAGTTATGATTTTTCGAAGTTTCGACTTAACAGTGTACAGCCCGAAGTTCGAATATTAGATCGAGCGGTTTTTAGCCGACACAACCTAAATGAGAATCGAAGATCTCGTTAATAGTAGCATAACGATAAAAAGACAAACAAAAACGGACGTCGGATGAAAAAGTTATGAAATTTTAACGGATCAATCCTATCCCGGCCTGTTAATAATATAACTTTTAAAATAAAGTCAAAATTAGCCGACGGAGTCTAAAAAAAAGTTCTAGAGTACGTTCCCGCCTACGCGTGCATATAAATAACGTCGAAAACGGAGCTCGTATGAGGAAGATACGAATTTTTGGAACTTGGAACTCGAAAATGCGAAGCATGTTGCGAGATTGACGACGTGGCAGCATCTGGGCCGTTCGATGTTGATCAAGCTTCGCATCGGATGAGTGACACGTCGCCTCGCCTACGCCCCGCGTCCGAGGCCGAGTACGCCCACCGTACTTTGGTTCTTATCCACTCCGAGATCAGGCCACGTGCGAAGACAGCTGGAAGCATTATCCGAAGCTATGCCCAGCGTAGCACTTCGGTACGCCCAGCGTACCACCGAAGTCTGGCCCTATAAAAGGGTGCGAGATGTTCCGAGGAAATCACACCTTTCTTCACTCTCTCTCAAACTTCTTTCTCTCTCTAGGGTTCCAAACCCCCCCCCCCTAAGCCTAGGTAAACCCCCTAGCACACGAAGGAAGCCCCGAGGCTCCCCGGAGTCCCGAGAAAAAGGGTCTTTCGGTTCGGAAACGTTGCTCCAAGCGAAGTCCGGTTTCTATAAAACCCGCTGTAAGTGAGCTACGCCTACGCTATTTTTAATATAGCTTTTATTTAATTATAGTAACGTTATTAGGAACTTATAATAAGTACTTGGGCTATTATTATGGGTTATATAAGTATTGTTTAACGCTTATATAATAGTAATAATAGCCAAACTATTAATTAGTCTTGGTGAATATTAGACTAAACTCTAGTGGTAATGATACTAGGTTTTGTCCGAGGAAAATTGTGTTGAGAGTAACGAAGTGTTGTTCGAGTGCCGAGTCACCACCTTCTCAGGTGAGTGCATAGTTACTTTCATCTTACACATAGATATGAAGCATTTAATATAAATTACATGCTACGTGTGCATATTGTCTGTATACTTGTCGTCTATGCTAGATGAACGATTTTATAAATGTTTTAAATGAATTAAATTGTATATGTATTTTATATCTACAAAATGTGTTGAGTAAAACATGGGTAGATGAAATAGTTGTTGTGTGACAAAAACAAAATGATGAGAGGTGATATAGACCACGAGATAAGGGTGAGAGGTGAACCATGAGAGAAGCCTTTTACCCAAGTGTTGGCCCCGTCATCTAGCAGAGTATGGATGACAACCACGGACTATTCTAGACAGTCCAGTGGAACACTAGCAGGCTCGCAACCTATAGGTGTATTTGAACTGTGTATTCACCAGCTGTACTCTAAAAACCCATTGACACGTATTGCGAGTGGATTCTCGGAAACGATACTGTCGATAAACGAGATAACCATGGCGACTATGAGACTTAGTGTCTATATCCTGGCGACTATGCGACTTAGTGCCTGTAGAGTAAACCCTGACAACGATGGATTTCGTGCCCATTCCTTAGGATGATCCTTAGGAATGAATGAACGAGGAATAACGAATTGTTAGGGTAGATCCTTAAGAGTAAAGAAGATAATAGGGATGGGTAATTGGATTGATTGTTTGATGTTTAAACTTAATAATTATATTATTGTGGGTTGAAAACCCTATGTACTCACCAGGTTTCCCAACCTGACCCACTCAGTTTATTTGTATCACAGGTGTCGATATGAAGTTACATTACATTGAGAGATTAAGGAGATATAAATTACTAGTGATAATGAATGTAAGTTCTGTTTATGCTTATGTTTCTGTATTGACAATGGCATCCTAATATTTTTAAATGAATAAAATACATTTCTTCGGAAATGCTTTGATAACACATTTATCATGTTTTTCTGGGAACAAATTCCG